AATTAATAGACGATTATATATAGCCCCAGTTTGACTCCATTATTTTTCATTTTATTACATTTCATTTTTCTCTCTTATTTTCAACCACATGATCTTTCATAAAATAATATTACAAGTAAATCAAAAAAATTTCCTTCTTTTTCAACCACTCATTTTTTAAGAAAACACTATTCCACTAATTTTCATTTTTACAAAATGAGGGCCAAACAAGGTCTTATTAAAAGTGTGTGTGTATATATATATATATATATATAAAGAGAGAGAGAGAGAGAGAGAGAGAGACCTTGATAGTTTTGTTGAAATTCCTTCGGTTTCTTTTCTTCAAGTATCTCAGAATTCTGTCCTTCCTTTCTTCATTTGAATATCGCTCAACTTTCGTCGCGGTTTCTTCAACATTTGCTGCTGGCTTCCCTTGCATTCCCTGTAAAATAAAATATTATTCACAACTAATTTGGGAAATGTGATGCCTTGTAGATTATAAGTTGTACTGTCTATTTATTCATGCAATTATTGTATTAAGCAACAATATTAAGCCCTGTTTTATGTGATTTAAATTTTTGCTAAAAATCAAAGTCAATATGAATAATAAATTTTAACCACACATTTCACTCGACTTACAACTTTTCAATTACATAGTTGATCAACTTTTATCAAAATCTACTAAAAATCTGATTATTATATACACGAGGGCTAAGAAAGTTGGAAAAAAACTGTAAAATCTCCTATTTATTGTGCCGAAGTACTGCATGCCATATATAGACCGAGTGATTGGTGAGCAAGTGCGAGTACTCCAGAACTTAGCAAGCACACAAGAATGTGAATAAATATATATAAAAATGGTCTAATATTTGTGTATATGGTGAATTTTTTGAAGCAAAAGGGGTTCAATATGGTACCCAATTTTCACCAACCCCTGGATAGACTGGACACAAATTTGGCATCATCACACTGCATCCAGATTGCTCACATAGCTCATGTTGGTAACGAGCTTCAAAACCTCCACCACCTACACCAAAATCACAGAACCCTTTATAGTCCTTTGGCAATGCCTGCGTATCCATGTCCGAAAACCCAAATTGCTCGGTCGAGGAAATCGGTGAATTGGTATCAGAACTCATCAATGGCAACATGTTGAGTTTTTCATTGTTATTGAAGAAGGGAAAAGTTTCTTCACTGAACATTGACATGCCACTGCCATTTGTGCATTCTGCTGGTGCAGTCGGGAAGTTGTACGATTCACCGGTGAAGAAATAGTTAGAGTAGTATTGATCAGGGATTGAATAATCCATAGAAGCTGCAAAGGTATTTTATGGTCTATTTTTTGGTTGGTTTGTGAATAAACACTTTTATGCATATATAAACCATTTATAAATGCATCTAAAGCTTTAAGCAAGTTGCACTTCCTTTTCTCCCCTTTATTGTACAGTTGTTTCATGGTTTTTCAATTTTTGTTTGCGGTTTGTTTAGTGATTAGTGAACATGGAATCTAGAACCTGTTGGATCTATCAGTAGGCACACAATGGTGTTTCTCAATTCTCACTCACCCTTGATGTGAAGGAATCCACTTCTTAAAAAAACTGAAATAAGAGCATATTTGCTATAAATTTTTTCAGAATAGATTTTGTGAAAAAAGTAACTTTTTTTTTTTTTTTTT